AAAATGAATACTTTTATAGTCCTGCACAACTTTAACGTTAATATTTCAACAGTGAGAAACCTAACTGTGCTCCTCTTGGATTATAGTAGAACTGTCTGCATCCACCATAATTAAACTGTGTTCATTGGAATCAAAAGGAAAGCTTTGTGGTCGAAGCAGAAAGATAAAAAATTGATGATTGGAGGAAATTGGTACGGATTCAGTAACAGAAGGTTAAATCTGTTGTGAAGAGTTCAAGGGATTTGGGCTGCAAAGAAGGATTTTTTTCAGAAATTTATGGGGGTGGGTTTGCATTCGACAGGGTAGTTGCTCAGAAGCACAATTAAATTTCTGCTGGAGAAGAGCTCATGTGCTGGCAACATCAGATTGAAACATAAAGTCAAACTTTAACCATATCCTTGGTAGATTAGACCAAACTAGCTAATGTTGATTACCCATTCCGGAAACTTAAGGCTATGGTTTACAATGACAGAGTACAGTGTCTACAAGCAACAAGTCCTGCACAAGAACTTGGAAAGAACTCTCTAAGTTAGCTCGCAAAAAAATTTACTGCCTTCATTTGTGTCAATAAACTTCACATGTAATCAGTAGCCTCAAGTTTCCCACTTCTTCAATTCAACCCAGTTTCTTTTTGTTGGTATGCGATTTCCTTGGTGTTGAAGATTAAAGGCGAAGGCTTTTTGTTTTAAAAGAGTACACAAATCACATGCTTTTCACTTGAGAAACTACCGTTAATATTTGACGTCAAATTTGGGAAGGACCAAAGGTGTCCATTTTTTGCAAAGACGAAGGATTTATTTTATCCACAGTTATATTTGAAGGACAAAGTGTAACCTGTCCCCATAAATAAGGGATCATTTGAGTTTTTACATTGCAGATCCAGACTCGATCTCTTGATATGCATTGACTTTTCCTTCTTTTTTTTTTCCCCCATTTACATCAATATCCATCAGGGAGCTGAAAAGATTGCAGAAGCTTTGAAGGAGAATCGCTCGATAACTAACGTTGATCTTGTAAGAGTTGTTTCCTCTTTTCTATTTTATTCAACATTTCTTGTTTTGTTCATGGAGGAGGTTGGGTTTCTTAATCTTATCAGAGCATAATTTTCTATTTGCTCTGATGGCTGGAATTCTGCGAATTTTACAGGGGGGCAACGACATACATGCTAAGGGTATTAGTGCCATAGCAGAAGTTCTGAAAGATAATTCTGTCATTACCTCTGTAAGTTTCATCAAAATGTTAACTTTTACTGATTTATTGGACAAACTTAAATACATTATACTTCAAATTTCTCACGAACAGTTAGAACTTGGTTACAACCCCATTGGACCAGAGGGGGCAATGGCATTAGCAGAGGTACTCAAGTTTCATGGAAAAGTAAAAGATCTCATGCTTGGGTGGTGTCAGGTAATGCATGGATTGTTTCATATATGCCTTCTTTAACTATCTCTTTTAGCATGCTCACTTAATTTTGTTCCAGATCGGAGCCAAAGGTGCAGAATATTTTGCCGATATGTTGAAGTACAATAGTACCATATCAACTCTAGACTTGCGAGCCAATGGACTTAGAGACGAGGTTTCATTCAAAGTTTATAGTTCTTCTATTGTGCCACAATCTTTAATTTCCCTCAAAGTACATAACCATTTCCTTTTTCAGGGTGCAATCTGCCTTGCTCGGAGTTTAAAAGTGGTCAATGAATCTTTGACGACACTCAATTTAGGGTTCAATGAAATTAGAGTATGCAACTCTTTTCCAGTACAAGTACAACCACCTGTCTTGATAAAGGTATCATCTTGTATTAACTTAGTTTCTGTTGCACACAGGATGAAGGAGCTTTTGCTATCGCTCAAGCACTTAAGGCAAATGAAGATGTTAGACTCACATCTTTAAATCTTGCCAGTAACTTCCTCACCAAATTAGGACAGGTAACATCAAATGATAATATTATTCTTTTATTTTAGCTGTTTTACGCGATTTTTAGTTCCTTACAATATCCGGATGGATTCCAAATTTCAGACAGCTCTCACAGATGCAAGAGACCATGTGTTTGAGATGACTGAGAAGGAGCTTGCTGTTATGTTCTAAAATACTACATTCCTTAGATCAGATATATTTTCCTCCCTACTTGGGGCAAGGTAGATAAGTATTTTTTTTTCTATTCTGGGGGAATAGAATCGCAGCCTACCATGATATTCTTAAGAGTCCCACCTTAGTTCCCTTTTGTGACTGAAATCATTTTGAGCGGGGAACAGTGGAAATTTTGATATCGAGATACACACTGATATTATAAAAAATGTTCCTTTTCTGAAACTTTTTTTTTTGCCTGATAACGTTAGTGGCAAGTACATAGAGATTACTTCTATTCACCATTTCAGATTCATTCTCTGGTTTGAAACTCTTCTGAGTTGTTGTTCTTTCCCTATGGCCTTTTAAGCTTATTTTGGTGTTGCAGGACAGAATTAGCTAACTTTTAGTTTGTCATTCAACTGTTCTAAAGTTTTCTGATAATTGTACTGTGCTCTAATGCTTATCCATCCCCTTGAAAAAATAACAGAAGGATAAAGAAAGTTTATATCAAAATCAGTAGGTCACTTTAGTAGTTAAAAATTAAGTGTAATAGCATTTATTGATTTGACGTAAACATTTATTGTGATTACTTTTTGCTGGAAAGATTTATCCAGATTCTTGTTGGGATAATTGCCTTGCATTGCTTTACTGAGAGAATTTGGATTGTTCAAAAGGGAAGTTCGGTGCATAAAATACCTTGCATTAGATGCAGCTTAAGAGATGTGACATAAATAACTTACTCTAATATAAAGTTTTAGTGATTGTTTTCACTGCTTGAATTCGTGACCTATACCATTGTTCCAAGACCATGATTCTTTGAACGGAATTTTATATTTATCACCTTCCGTGCCCTCTTTTGCCACTGTCAGCTGCCTAATCTAAAAGAGAAGAGGAAAAGAGTATTCACTTTGAACGTACAATTCACAAACTGATTGTTTATTTAATAGACCATCTTATACATTGAACTTGTAAAGTTTTTTTTTTTTTAAAAAAAATGGATTTTAGCTGGATAAGTTGGCCAGCTGGGGTTATCAGAATCTTTTAAGAATTCAGTGGATAACTCTTCAAAATTACTTCGAACAGAGTGTTTTCAGGACAGAGCTGATGAACATAAAATGTGGCTAACCTCTCTAAATGACATGTCAAATGAATACGCTTAGAGATCGAATTCAAGATTTTAAATTAAAAATTTATCACGAAAATCGATTTTGCCACCATATAAATTGAAATGTAAAAGTAATACCTAATTAATACAAGTAAAATGAGTAATATTTTTGTATTTTTGTCTCCTTGTACGTACTGTTCCTTTTTTTTTTTTTTTTGTAGTAAGTAGTGCAGATTTTGAGGAAGCTCCAGCTCAAACATTACATCACTAAGCGGTTTTAAATGTCGTCTTTTTATTTCCATGTTCTGCTCTTCTTTCTTCTCTTATTTATCAAATTCTTAATCAGATCGAGTGTATCGAAAATAACATCTTTATTGTACAACGTACACATTATTTTTTCCCTAAATATGTTATTTTTTATAGCATAAAATTCTTGCATAACTAATTCATCAAACAAACTTGTCAAATAATGTTACACTCTCATATTCCCTTGTGTTCAAATTATTATTATTATTATTATTATTATTATTATTATTTTGGGGGTGGAGCAAATATTCCCAATTGCAACCCACAGAGAGGATGTGATGGCCACTTGGTAAAGTTTCTTAAATTGAGCAGCTTTACATTGAATCTTTGTTTTGGCATGCCACGATTGTTTGTCTACTCTCTGCCTCAAGCCTGTTTCCAGGACCATTGCATTGAGTTTAGAGCCCAGTGAAACTTCTAAATTTGCCAAAAAATAGAGAAATATTCTTATAATATACTTCCTCCGTTCATTTTACTTGTTACTTATTCTTAAAATAAATTTTCGTTTTTATTTGTCACTTTGACACATCAAGAAAAGATAATAATTTTTTTTTGGCATGTTTTACCCTCATTAATAAGTAGTTATTTTCCAAATTTTTCAAGACATCATTTAATAGTGGATAGTTTGGTAAAATACATATATCATTAATTATTTTCTTAGTGAGTATGTCAAGTCAAACGTGACAAGTAAAAATGAACGGAAGAGTAATACTCCCTCCGATCTATTCATTTTTATTTGTCTATACTATATTATATTAATAATAGTTGAGCTAATTTTATCACTTTTAGTTTCAATACATTAAATTTAAATATATTTTAAAGATAATATAACAAAATTATTATTTTTTAAGACGGAGAAAGTAGTAGTAATAATTAAAGATTAAAGAAGAGACAGATTAATTAATTCTTCCACTTCACTCATTAGTGTTTGCTTAAGAATCTTTACTCTTTTCCTGTCCATCTCCCATTATCAGTACCACATGTTCCTTCCATTTCAAATGGTGAAAATAGTTTAAAATATCTCGAGTTATTATTTGAAATAGGCTCAAAACTTATGATTTTGGTTTAAAAATTTACTTTCATGATGACTTTGGATTAAAAAAAAATATTTTGTTATTACATTTTTGGCTAGAAAATATCATGAAATATCTAAATAACTCAATATAAAGAAATAAATTTTAGATCTACTTCAATTTCAAAAATTAGTTTATGAGAAGGTTTCATCTCATTAATCATTAATGTGAGACTTTTTCATTATTTAACAACCCGCTCATGCTCATGAATGAACATTTGCAGTGTGGACAATTTTATTTGGGAGCCTAAATCCTAATATCTAGTGAAATGAATCTTGCTATGATACTATGTAAATAAATAAACTTTGAACCTAACTTAAAATTAATAGAACCACAAGATGAAAAAAAAATAAAAAAAATAGCAGGATTGACTGGTCTACTTTGATGATCTGTTATTTGAAGTAAAACTAGGGGCAATTAGATCACAAGATTCCTATAAATTGTTGGGCACTGACTTTGTTGCACCCAAAAAAGAGTACCAAAGTGGTCATCACAAACTACAAGAAAAAAACTCAAGGCAAAATAACAAAAATAAAACATTTCATTCAAAAACTCCAAAAAAAAAAAAATGTCTTCAAGATTGCTTATTCTTTTCACTTTCTTCCTCTTCTGCCTACTTGTTCAAGTAAACTTTTTGAACCATTAATTAATCACCTAACTACCATATGATTTTGTTGTTAAACTATTTTTTTTGTGCTATTACTTGTCTAATTATTTTAATGTTCTTTGCTTGTAGGTCTCTTCTGATATTGACATTGAAGACCACCAAAATCAGGTATTTCTTTACTCTTTTTCCATCATTTAACAAAAAAATGACACTTAAACTAAACATTACAGAAATTATTTGTCCTAATTAACATATATAATAAAATAAGAGTATAAACAAATTATGTTAAGAGTGTCTCACACTAGTCAAGAGAATGAGTTGATGTCTCCTAGTTTGGACAATCGTTACCTTATGAGCTACTCCTGTTGTTTCAATTTGTTTGTCGTAATTTCCTTTTAGTTTATTCTAAAAGAAATTGTCTTTTCCTTAATTTTGATTTAAAAAAAATTCAACTTTTCACGTGATATATTTGCAAGGACAAAGAATAATTTCTCTCTTACCTTGTTATTGTTCATATTGGTTGTGCAAATCTTTGTTAGGTGGTGAGAGGAGGTAACAGGAGACTCTTGCCCTATGTTGGTAAGTTTCAATTCTCAATCTATTTCAATTGAAAAGAAAATAATAAGAGCCTATTTTTATTAGACGTTAATAAATTTTAAGGGTTGAAATTGATTTTATAAATAAATCGTTACTTATTTGTATAGAAAACGAACAATTTATCTATGTTTTATATCAAATAAATAATGACTTATTATCAGTTTTAATAATAAATTATCAAAACTGATAATAAGTTATCATTTATTTGGTATATAAAACGTAGATAAATTCTTCTTTTTTCTAAAATGACTAAAGTACCCTTGGAACTTTTTCAAATTTTGTAAATTTATATGTTCCTTTTAAATAAAAAGAAGAAAGACATAAATGGAGAAAGTTTGTAGTTTTGTAAGATATTTTGAAAACCATAAGTTAAGAATGACCAACTTATGACAATAAGCACTTGACTATTTTTGGTGTTTACTTTCTCTTTTTTTTTCGTAATAAAATAAAATCAAAACACGCAATTTGACCAGCTTACAAACTTAGTTACACACCCGAAGAAAACTCAAAAATTAAAGTTTTAATGAGTCTGTTCGATTTATTATTGTTTTGAAAAAAAAAAATGAACAGATTGTGGAGGACTATGCAAAGTGAGATGTAGCAGGCACTCAAGACCAAATTTATGCAGCAGAGCTTGTGGGACTTGTTGTATGAGGTGCAAATGTGTTCCTCCAGGCACTTTTGGTAACAGAGAAATTTGTTGGTAATGCTACACAGACATGACTACTCATGGAAACAAGACCAAGTGCCCTTAATTTATAAAGGCTACTATAAGAAAAAAAATATATGAGAATATGTGTTTTGAGATTTTGATGTAATGTTGTGATGGTGGTTTTCTTATTTAGTGTAGTTGTGTCGTTTGGTAGCTGGTTAGAATTAATGAATCAATGTATTATTTTATGTATGTATTGCTTATGCTGGGATTAGTTATTCATGTATTAGTTATTTCACCTTCTATCATGCATAAAATAATGTATAAATTCTCTCATAACTTATACATGTATTAGTTATGCGATTTCTAAATTATCATCAAATATCGTAGTAATTTTATATATGAAATTATGAATAATATATTTTATATCTACCTATCAAATGTCGTATAAATTATATCAAAGATAATACATAAATAATTTGAATCTTATCCAGCTACCAAATAATTTAGATGTTTTAATATTCTTTGATGACTAGTCTATGCTGGTTGAATCAAAGCTTATAATTCACGAGCCAAGTTATGGTATAACAAGTGAATGTTAACATGCTATTTTATCGAAGTCGATTAATGTTTTTCATAAATATTATGTATGATTATTTTTTATTAAGTGGCGTACCTGTATAAATATTTCTTACATCATGAGTACCTAAAATTTAAACTTATCTTGTTAAGTTTGTTCATGCGAACAATGTAAATATTTTTATACCACCAAAACATTCTACTAACAAATTAACTCCATTTAGGTCAAATATTGCAAAATAACAGTTTCTTGGTTTTATATTACTTGACTTTTATTGATGTGCCACACTTTTTAAGAAACCTTTAATTAGTAGTTTATTTTGTAAATTAATTTTATTAATAATACTTTATAACTCTAAATATTGTTTTTAATGTAGTTATTTAATACAAAAGATTGTAGAAGGAAAAAGTAACAAAACTTTCTTGATTTACTAAAACAGATAAGTAAAATGAAACATTTAGTTTGGGGTAGGGCCCTGAGAAAAATGAAACGAAAAGAGTAACTTTTACTTTTTTAAAACATTCTAAAAGGAAAGTAAAACACATGAAACAAAACAAAATGAATATAATATTCAATAAAATAAAAAGGAAAGTAAAACACATTAAACAAAACAAAATGAATATAATATTCAATAAAATAGGCAGACCTCAGGGATGGTGGGCCGGACTACCAGTTTGGAACAGGCCCAATAACCAATAATCTAATTAAGCCCATCATAAAATCATGCTTGACCAATAAAGGCAGTGACCAAGTTTATCACCAAACCATGTTTCTTTGTAATTTGCAAGATTTGAACCAAATATTAGAATAAATAAAACAAACATGACATTTTTTAAGTCATTCCTAAAAGGAACGATAGTCTTTTACTTTTAGAAACTTATGTAACTTTGAAAAATAGTCAAATTAACTTTTGAAAAGTAAAACATAACAACTAATACAGAACATGAGTAATCCTAATCCAAATTATAAATGTACAATTAACACAAAACATTAAAAGTAACTTCCCATTTCAAAAGGTCATATAAGATGAGAAAATTTTAAAATCATATAACCTAATCTTCATTGCTCTCTAATGAGCTAAGCCATGAAAATAACACTAACAATAAAACCATATTTGATTGCTAAGCAATCAAGAATGTCTACTACTTCATCTAGCAAACTAAATTTAGACTTTCCACAAATTCATTAATAGCCTTATCAGAGCTACCTCCTTCACTAACTGTTTTCTTAGCCAAATCTCTCAATTTTGTTGCATTTTTCCTAATCTCAACACTCTTTTCCCCTTTCATTACCTCATTTAAACAAAATAACAACTCTTCTCTTTTAACAATTCCTAACATCTCATCCAACTTAGGCCTCAAACCAATCTCCCATATCTCATCTATAAACTTAGCATCCGTCATTTGATCAGAAAATTGAGGCATAGCCACCATTGGTACGCCAAGGCTTAGTCCTTCAAGAGTCGAATTCCATCCACAGTGAGTCACAAAACAACCAATAGCTTGATTTGCTAGCGTTTCGAGCTGATTGCACCATGACACAATGAGTCCTTTACCTTTTGTGGATTCTATGAATCCTTTAGGCAATTTGCATTCTTCAGTATCTCTTACAACCCAAAGGAAATTCATGTTGCTTCCTATTAAAGCATATGCTATTTCTTCCATTTGTTTTTGTGTAAGTGATACCATACTTCCAAATGAAATGTAAATTACTGATTGTTTTGGCTTTGTTTTTAGCCAATTGAGACATTCTTCACTAAGGGGTTTCCATAGACTTGCTCCATAACCTTTGTCATTTTCTATTCTTCCATCCAAATATAAAGATGGCACCATTGGTCCTATCAACTTTGCTGGCCAAAACTTTGAAACTCCTCTTGCTATCTGAAATTAAATGCCGTTTAATTTTGTAGTCTTAGATAAAGAATAGCCAAAAAAGAAAAAAAATATTCTTTTTAAAACTGACTAAAGAGAAAGATAAATATAAGTATTTAGCGTAACACAGCGTATCCGAATAATCCAATATCCGGCATCTTTTTTCCTTCAACTATTCAATATTCGAAGTTTAGCATAAGCGTATCCGAACAATATAAGTGGTAAACATAAAGCGCTAAAGTTTTTTTTGTTCTTAAAATGTTCAAATCGTACTCAGTGGCGGATCCAAGATATCGATTAAGAGAGTTTGAAGAAAGTAGTGTTTAAGATTTAAACTTGAAACCTCAATGTGAGTTTTGATATCCCTAACCACTAAGTCAACTTCTAATCTTACATTCAAGCTTAAAAATACCATATAATACAATGTAATTTTTTACCGAGAAGGTTCGGGTGAACCCCTCGACTACCTCTAGGTCCACTCCTGACAGTACCGTAAAAATAAAAATATATTATAAAAAATGACGTAAAGTATTTTTTTTGTTTGTAAAAGGCTAGAAAATCATCTCCCCGTCCCACAAAAATCATAAATAAAGTAACAAAAGATGCTGGAACAATTATTAACATGCAACCAAAAGTATGAGGCCCCAACCAATTATTGAAGAAACATACCTCTCCTTCAAGCTCTTGAAAAGAATTATCAAAAATCCAATCAGCATTTTCAACATTAGAAAATTGGCTCATTTTCATAGCTAAATAAGCAGGATAACTTTCAGGCTCTTTAATAAATCCAGGAACATCATTTGGGTACAAACAAGGCAAACCAGGCAATAACAATGGCTCATTTTCTTCGATTTTCACGGGCAACGAAAACGTTCCATGGTGGATATGAGCAAACACAGCACAAACCATAGCTGAATTCGTAAAAAAAGATGCTCCATATATCCCATGTTTTTTCGCGACATCAAGAGCCCATGGAAAGAAGGAATCATAAACAATGCAACTTATAGGATGTGTTGAATTTTCGTAATTTGTGAGTATTTGTGATAGAGTTCTCGAACCATTTTCTTTGAACGATTTGAGGAATACGTCTGTATTTTGGGCTTGAGTATAACCACCTTCGTCAAATCCATCAGAAATTGGTTCAACAGAGATGTTAGGTGAATGAATAGAGTTAACAGTGTATTTAGTTGTGGCTATTGTTGATTTAACACCTTTTGAAGCTAAACGTTTAGCAAATTGGAGAAGTGGATTAATGTGACCTTGGCTGGGGTATGGTACTAATATAACATGAGGCTCAATTGTTGTGACTTTGGCCATTTTTTTGGTATAAAATAAAGAAAACCAAACACTTTATAATTTGTTTGAAAGAAAATGGAATGATATGCATTATTTATAGGCTACAATAGTATGTTGTACAGTAGATTACCTCGACTTAATGTTTGTATTGACTTTTGACTTGTTTTTATCCTGAAAAAATTAAAGGAGACTAATGAAATATACTATTTATATTGATTTTTCACTTTGACTAATTTTTAGTTTATTTAAAAGGTAAATTGACTACAATAGTATGTTGTACTAGTAGATTACCTCGATTTAATGTCTGTATTGACTTTTAACTTGATTATCCTGAAAAAATTAAAGGTGACTAATGAAATATAATATTTGTATTGATTTTTTTACTTTGACTAATTTTTAGTATAACTTAAAAGGTATTTTGACTTAAAATCAGGTAAGTAAATCTAATCATGCTACAAGAGCCGTCAAGATGGGCTTAGCCCATGGAGCCGGCCCAACCCAACCTGTTATTGGGTAGGGTTGAGATAGAATTTTTTAAGTCCATGTAAAACTAGGGCTTATAAGCCCGGTTCATATAAACCCTTGGACTTTGAGGCTTGATCGAAGTCGGGCCGGGGTCGGCCCATCGGCCAAAATTTTTTATTTAAGGGTAACTTACAATAATTTCACTAGTATATAATCTAATTACTTAAATACACATTATTTTATAATATTATGAATCTTACCAGATTTTGGTACGTCCAGATACATGTATCTTGGAATATATGGACTCAAAATTAGGTTAATTTGTTCTAGATACACTCTATTCAAGTAGATTCACATGTATCTAAGATGCATATACAAATCTCGCGCCCTCGCCTTCCTCTAATCTTGTTTGCACTCTCTTATCTCGCTCGCGTATCTGGTATGCGAGATACATGTTAATTACATTAGACTTCTTGCTAGTGTTATTAAATCAACACCATTGTTAGCCATATTTGATTTGAAAATCTTCTCATTTTCTTGATGTTATAGAATTATAAGTTTGAAAAGAAAGAGAAAAAAAAAGAGCTAGTCCGCCCAAGCCCTCGGTCCTTCTAGGGTTGGGTTGGGTTGAGCATTTTCATGCCCTTCCGAATGAAGGACCAGCCTGCCATAGCCTTTCAAATTCCTTGGTCTGCGAGGCTTGAGCTGGGTGGGGCTAGGCCAGCCCTTTTTGACATCTCTACATACTATACTATAAAAACAATTGAAGCAAATTAATAAAATATGGTACTAGTAGAGTGACGTCATTGCTTACATGGGGAAGTGACGTCAGCAAAGCATACTTAATAATTGTGCCTTAAATTCGGTTGATATTTCCATTTCTGGTACCACGCTTAATGTTGTTGTCTATATATAGAATCACTGAGCATGGCACATGTCACAACCCAATCCATGTCACATCTTAATTGTTCATTTCGAGATGCGGATTTTTATCGAGGCGGATTCAAAATTTAAAAATTAATCTTTTTGTGTATAACTTTTTAAA